ACACACACACACACACACACACACACACACACACACACACACACACACACACACACACACACACACACACACACACACACACACACACACACACACACACACACACACACAAAAACCCTTCCTCCTTCAATTTTCAACAATTAGTTGCTTCAGTTCAGTACGTTCATTTCCTCTCATTACATTTAAACAAGCTTGATGAAGCCACCCTTTCCCCCCTTAATTCAAGCCTTCCGTCCTTCTTGCCTGTTCCTTTTTTCAGTTTTGAGCCAGTCTCTCTCTCTCTCATACACACACACACATTCACCCTCCCTCCCTCAATCTTCTGCATAAATTAAAGCAAACTGATGAAGTCACCTGTCACTCTCTCGCACGTTCCTTCCCTCCTTAATTGCAGCTTTCCCTTGTCCTGCTTGCAGTCACCTCCAGCGGAAGCAGTCATTCACAATCTGGATTGACTTCCTGGGCCGTTCTCCAGCTGTAACCAATCAAGCCACCTTATCTCATTTGTCTCATTTTTTACATCAGACATTTGACATTTTAACAGGGGTGTGTAAACTTTTTATATTCACTGTATACAGTTTGTGCCCATTTTGTTTTCTATTCTTCCAACTTTTTTCTTGCAATCAGAATTTAAGAAAACAATCTGAATGAAAGCAACCCTGGATACATGGAAATTGAGAGCAACATAAAAGTGTGCCTGTCAGAACGTTTACTATATTTGGAGTTTATGAAATTAAATCCAAATCTCATGGTGTTGCTGTATGTGAATTTAATTGTAGAACATTGGTTAGATGTCTATAACTGCATAATTATTTTACATATAGTTTTGGTCTACAGCTTAATGGTTTAATTACTTTTGTTTTGTCTTGTGCAGCCTTGGTTGGCTTATCGTTCACCGGAGTTATTGGTCTGACATTTCTTATGCTGGGGTGTGCCCTTGAACAATATGGGTAAGATTTACATTAATCTAATATATATCTCTCAATGTCTACACCTTTATGCCTTCTGTTTAAAAAATATTTTTAAAACTGTCTTAATTCTTGTATTTTTATTTGTCATTCTGCAGGGTCTACTGGCCACTCTTTGTCTTGATATTTTACTTCATAAGTCCTATTCCTCACTTCATTGCAAAAAGAGTGAGTGATGATACAGATGCTGCAAGCAGTGCCTGCAAGGAATTAGCATATTTCTTCACAACAGGAATTGTGGTTTCTGCCTTTGGATTTCCTATCATTCTTGCCCGTGTTAATGTGGTAAGATCTCATAGCAAAATCATGAAATCATTGATCGTTGTCTCCCTTAGAGTTTTTGTTTCTTCAGGCATTCAGCCGTATTATTGTGCAGGTAGATAATGGGTAGATGCTGGTGGAATCTGGCCATTTCTGGCTGACTTGCATAGAAATAACAATGTCACTGAAACTTAGGTATGTACTAACTTCTTGATGGTATAATAGTAACACACGTGTTCAAGAGAATACTGTAGGACCATGGTATCTATGGAGGAACAGTTCCAAGCCCCCCCCCCCGGGCAAAAAAAACATAGAAGTATTGAATACTATACACTGCATGGCCTCTGGCTCTGTTTAGTAGCTAGTTCTGGTATATTCACCCTGGAAATGCATATAAATATGTATATTTATTTCTCGGGTTTTTATTTATCATTTTCATGCTGCAGATAAGTGAATCAGTAGATACTGACTCCACAGATAGTGGGTCCTACTTTACCTTCTTTTTTTTCCCAGAAGTTAATTTCTGTGGTATAGAGATCTATTTTAAAAAAAACGATGGATGTCCACATTTTGAGAAACATTTGGAACCTTTACATTTGAAATCTCTACCATTTTTTCTAACTACAATGAAGAAGAATTTAAATGCACAATATTAATTTTAATTTAATGGGCTTTAATTTTTAATTGACCTTTTTGTTTTTGATCCTTTTGGAGGGAGCCGTGTATATATATATATATATACTCACATGCACCTGACATGGCTTCATTCTCTTTTTCATTCTACTGTATTTCTCCTCAAAGGTTTTTTAAATCCACTGCAAGACAGTGAGAGAT